TTTGTGGCTAAAGAGGCACTGTTTCCCTTCTTGTATTCAAACGGCATTATTTGCTGAATGTGTGTCTCATTGAGTGCCATCACTGTAAGGAATTAGAGTATACTAAACTTTACACATTATATAGGCTACACTAATGAAAGTGTTCTAAAACGTGACATTAATTTCTTGATGTCCTAATACATTCTCAGTAACTACATATTTAATTGCTTTTGGTCACCTTTGGAAACTTGCTTTCTTCATCCACAAGAGCCATTATGTTCAAAGGCTTCATGGCAATCAGATCAAGGGTGTCCTGGTTGTCCACAAATTCTATATGTTGCCAGTTGATACCTTCTAGGTTGTATTCTTCTTGCTCGAGCTTGAAGATGTGTCGCACAAAGAACTGCTGCAAGTTTTCATTGGCATAGTTGATGCAAAACTGTTCAAAACTGAAAAAATTCACACCAGAAGCATTTAAATGTATCTCAAGTCTAGAATCTTCAAGTGAAGAGTCTAATGATAAAGCAAGTCTGCTTGATATAAATAGAGCATTTCCCTCAACAATAAAGTATGATTTAAAAACTTTGTTTCCTAATGCCATTTCTAAATCCTATAAGAGAGTATATGAGTTTGAGCATTCATTAGAATGTATTCCTGTTATGATCAACTTCAAAACAGCTTGCAGGTAACTCGAAATAATATATATAATTATTTTAATCAAGATTAGCATAAAAAACATCAACTGATTCATGATAATTCTAAGAAGCTATGAGTGAAAGCAAGGAAGATTATGTAGGAATAAGTAAACCATATGAGGACTTTCATCAAGCCAGTTGGGATACAACAGACATAGTTGTAGTCTAGATATTATTCATATCATCAATTGCAACTGTTGTGGTGTGAAAAAACTTAAGTAAGTGAAGTGTAATTATTACTGGGTTTACTGGGCTTTAAACCATGGTACAAATTTTATTACCCAATTTTAGTCAATCATTTCATACTTAAAATATTATATAACTGAATGTGAAAATGATATGGTAGTTACTAAACAAAGGTGTCAATCTTAATCATATAAAGCTCATTGCTTTAGCCTGAAGCAATACTGACTAAAGAATGGTTCTGGTGATAAAGGCCAGGGAGCAATTATTTTTCATGAAATAGGTAGGGAGCTTGATTTTGAAAAGAGATGCACAGTAGCATGCCAATCTGAGCATAGATGACTGTGTGTATCTCATTACAAATAAAGTATTAATAGTTAAAACACAGATATTTTCTAGTATGTTACTACTAGTTTTTATTGTGTAACAGAACATTTGTTTCCCAAAAGAAAACAAACAGACACTGACAGTTAAAACTTTAGAATGGAAATTTAATGCTGCATAAATGTAAATCAAACTTTGAGAGTACTGTTTAAGCAATGATGTAATTATAGAAATGTTTTCAGTCATCATCTGTAAATATTACATATTTTCTTTTGATCACTATAATACATTAATAAAACTAAATTATTCAGGTTTTCTACCTATTCACTATAAAGTTCTCAAAGCCAAAAATGTCAAGTACACCAATAGACCGCCTTGTAGGTGAGTTTAAGGTTTTGGGTTTGTACACAGCAGAGTTAATCTTCTGGACAATCCATATAAACATTCGTCCATAAATCCCTTTCACAAAAGCATCTCTAACATCTAGTGCCTGTGATGAGTTCATTGTAGATACTACAGAATCACCTTGTGCAAATATCGTCTTTGTTGTCAAGGCATCAATGAGATGTTGGGTATTAACCTGTAGTAAACAAAATATAAATAATAAAACAAGACAAATTAAAAACAAGGAAAAACCTAAACTCCCACATGTTACTGTCAAACGGAAACAGACTTAGAATGGATATTCACACAAAACTGCAGGACTACCTGTGCTACTATCCCTAATTTTAAACTGATAGACTTGAGGGAAGACAGCTAGTCAACAGCAAACATTGTATCTCCTGGCTACTCTAAATGAATAGTGGGATATGACCATTACTACTGTAATGCTCCCATGGCTCCATTGTGTGGCACACAAATTAGGATGCAACACGATGCAAACCATGGACACCTACATGTTAAACAACTAGATTTCAATTGGTGTAAAAAATAAAAGTTGATGCACATCAAAGTATGTTAAGAATGTTTACCATAAAAAAAAACATAAGTGTAACATTTGCATCCCATTCACAAATATATGCTTCTTATGTCATTTTTTTGTTGAATATGATTAAGTGTATTCTGTAATAAAGCACAATTAGGATAAAACTTCTTTAAAAGTTTTTTCTAGACAAACATTTATAAACTTATCTTTCACACATTAATAAATATGAAAAAAATATAAATTAATTTTTAACAAAATTATGCATGTCTTTACTGGTGCATGTAAGATATGAGAAAAAAAACTAGGTTATAATATAACGATATTGATGATTTTATCACTAATAGTAAAATCACCAATGGTTCATGGAATGCCTATAAGACACCTACATAAGCATTTCTGCAAAAATGTTTTATTACCTGTAAGAGTTTTGCAGTGCTGGTGGCAGCTTTTGAATTGGTAATCTCAGTAGCATCTAGGTTATTCATTGTTGTTGCTAAATAGACATTTGTAAAAAAAAAAGATTAATGTCTTCTTTTTCCAACATTTCATTAGAACAAATTACAGGTAACCAGGGGTGTGTTGGGGCCAGTTTGGTCCAGTTCTCCCGAACCGGTTGATAAATTTTGATTTGATCACCAAACCGTTTGTTGATTTTTAACAAATATTCAGCAATCAATAGAAATTTATCTTGAAATGGTGCAAAAAATACCTCATTTTCCTTACTATTAACTATTATACGTTTCACAAATTAGAGCAAGTTTATATCGATGTACCACAGAATTTCGACCTTAATCAAAACTGGCTGTTAAAAAATTGCCAGCACACCCCTGCAGGCAACTATTTAGAAAGAGCTGTTTTAAGATTATAATTTATGAGCAAAATTTGCATAAAACAAGAAAACTTATACTTCTAGGCTAATCTATTAAAAATATAAACTTTTGATAACATTTTTAGATAAAACAAAAATATTGCTGAACTGATCTCTTGCATATATAAGTTAAATAAAATACAATTTTTATATCATAGATTTAAAAAAGGAGAAAGTATAATAAGTTAATTTTGTTATTACATATTTGAGAAATAAAACAAAAATGTATAAAAAACAAATAGACAGTTTGGGGAACAATGATTTTTTATATCACAGATAAATACATTGGGAGAAGCTGGCTGTGTCATGTAGTTTTCAAACTCCTGTCAAACTAAAGCTGAGACATCCTCAGCTGAAAGTGTAGAACCTGATACTTAAAAAATGACAAAAGAAATAGTAGTAGTCACGACAGTGGTATTCGTGACACTAAATTCAGAATTCATGGTTCAACTGTGGTAATTTCATGAAAAATATGGAATAAAGTAAAAACAGTTAAATTTACTTTCACTCAAAACTGCAAGTTAAATGCTTAACAACTTCTAAGACAAACTACTACTTTGAGAAACAAAGCAAAAAAATCAAGTATGAAGTTAAAAACTCAAGCAAGTTTTTATAATGTCCAAACATGACTGTGCCTAAATGAGAAGTGAAAGTTAGGCTGAATAGTATAAAGGGAGTAACCTTCATCAGGAGAGAGTGTCATGCTTCTATTAGTGGAGGGTTGCTGTATGCTTACTTGCATGCAAGAATGCAGTAGAACCATGAACATGGAGTAAGTGGAGAGAAATTTTTTTGCATATAGAGGGCAGCACTGAGTGAGAAAAGTTATTATGTGAGAGGAGGTAAGATACCTTATCAGAAGATAACTTCTCTATAATATATATTTCTTATCAAAAAAAATTGTTAAGTTCTTCTATAGCTCTAATGGAACATGCTAAGTCCATTAAGAGGTCGTGAGCCATATTCAGGTTTAGGTTTGGCCAAGGAACTTATGTAATGTTTCAAGGGATAGTTATATTGTATCCTGCTTTATCTTACGTATAAAGGACTATCTTATGATTACACATTAAGCAGAAACATTTCAGGATTCCTGTGATCTAGCTTTCTTGGCTGTGAAAAACGTGGATTTTAAAAGCAGTTTTTCAAAGAGAGATTACTTTCTATTTTGATGGACCAAGACTTGTCCAAAGCACTACATTTTTATTAGGTTCTTTAAGATGTTTGCTGACTATATGTTACTATGTTTTAAATTCACTTTTAATTTCAAGCTTATTTTAGTTTTATTTTACACTCATTTCATTATCATTAACATGGAATACATGTAAGACAATTGTTGAATACAAAATGAGTAGCATTTACATGTGTTCACCAAACATGTTTATACTTTCTCTTTTTGCACTTGTTTTTGTGTTTACTTTTCACCATACCAAATATTCAAATCTCTCATTAGGAGGCCATTATTTCATTAAACCAGAAATACCACAATATGATGATATGGTATCAACTATCAAAGATTATTTATCTATTGATGAAATGCTAATATTGTATGCTCAGATGAAAACAAGACTGCAAATGAAAGTTACGAGGATAATGATGAAGTTCATTTGTCCAAAAATAAAGAAGTGGAGTGATTTACAACATCAAAACAGCAGCCAACTGGGAGAAGATAATCTACAAATGTTTGCACCGAAACAATAGGTCCAAATAGATGTGCAAGAAGAAATAATGACAAAGCATTATCTGTATTGACTTTATTTATAAAAAACAGTATTATGCATGATATACCGAAATGGGGAAACACGGAAGGATAAGCTGTAGAGAGAAAAGTTTAGTATCTGTATTCTAATGAACTGAACTATTTTTTTGTGTGATGATACTAGCTAGTGTTTATAAACCAAATAATAAAGTAATTGAACACACATAGAATTGGGACACTGGTAGACCAATTTTTCCAAAAGCATTGCATGTAATTGATTTTATCATATTTCAAGATGCCTTTGAGTTGATAATGCTTAAGAACAAAACAAAAAAAAAAAGAGGGAAAACAAAGAAAATATTGGATCTTATAAATGTTTAATAAATAGGCCAGATGTGTGGAGTTCAAATTGGCTGATGCCCAGGACAACAAGTTTCATTATTATACTTTGCACTTTTGAAGAGTTTTCACATTATTCATTATATTGCTAGAAATACACTTTGTGTAGGTTTCTAGGGAGCCATGTAAGTTTCTAAAAATTCTGAACTGTGGAAATCTAGCACATACACATGTATATTTAAAAATGTGTACATATTAAACCTCAAACCAAAACTATATATAAAATAAATATATATATACACACATCCCTTTGTTTCACAACCCCTCGGTCACATAAGGCGACAAACATATTTAAGTTAACACAACAATATTATTACACTGCTTTTGTAACTACTTATATATATATATATATATCTTGCCAGCATTTATAGAATCCATGATTTCTTTATCAATTCATATATAAGGTATTCTACATGATATGCTGTAAAATCCTAATTACTAAGTGTTAAAAACTATAAAGATGCAAAATGTGGTATAGGCCAAGCCCAACAAAGTTGAGTAGCTGGTGGCATTGTATTGATGGATATGCAGCATTTTGCCCAAAAATAGAAAAAAAAAGATCTTGTAACAATTAAAATAAATAATAAATTTAGTTATTTTAGTTTTTCATATAATAATTTGTAATAGTTTTTTTTAAATATATCATTTTCAATTTCATATGTTTGATAACATTGTAGAAACAAGACTGATTTTCTCAAAATGGTAAAATTAGATGTACATTTTTTTGCTTCTAAGCAATTTCCTAAAATATATGTTATACTTTTTGTATGTATGTTTTGTGGGATTGGGAAGAGGTAAGTATATTTCTAAGAAGGACAAGTAGATTTTTTTCTATAGCTTTGTCTTCTATACAAGAAGTTTCTCAAAAGTTCCACACCCATGATGTGTACAGACTTTTCAGCAGTGTTTTATACCATCAGAAAATGTGACCACTGATAAGCAACTAGTCACATTCTATGGCAGTTGTTTCTTTAAACAATATGTATTAACATAAAAACTGTAAACTACAGGATTAGAAGAACAATCAAGAGAATAAAACCAATTGTAATGAACATGTTCCAAGGGTAGGAACACAGTGGATGAAAGTTATTACTTTCCTGTACTGAAAATATATTGCCAATAGGTACTTACCTCATCTCACATGGATAGCTATTCTTGTTCAGTGCTGCCCTCTATATGCAGAATTTTTTTCACATGCCACATGCCTTGAACTCCTATGTATCCCATGATTAACAAAGTACAACTGTTTCTTGCATGTAAATCATCATGTGACAACCCTCCGCCAATATAAGTGTGTGACACACCTTCCTGATGCATGTGACTCCCTCTATTTGGTTCTACCATACTATCACTTCAAGATTAGGCAGAAAAGGAAGCACTGGTTTTCAGCAGAGAGAAAAGGTGGGAAGTGTTTGAGGAGGTAAGTACCTATCAGAAATATATTTTCAGTATAGGAAAATAACAACTTCCAACAGTACATTACCTCCACTCACATGAATAGCTAGAATCCCACATTGAATAGGTGGAGGGATTAGTGCGAGGGATAGAAAGAAGTATCCTTCAAAAGCATCTGTAGAACACCCCTGAGGTGTGATCCCCAATGAGAGAGGAACACACATGGAAGACTGTACCATTTCTGTACCATGTATACTTTGCACCCATTGTAGAAAGAAGTCACATACACAGGCAGAAAGTGGGAGGAGCACAATCAAAAAGGGAGAGAAAAACCTGGTGGGTTGGAATCTGAACTACAGTATACCAGACTCTCAATCCCATAGAAGAACCATGACAGGAATGTGGGGAAAGCTAAAATGGATGTGCTCCAAGGTGTAGAGTGGCTAGGGCATGATGAACCATATGCAGCCAGTCAACTCCAGTCCAAAACCAAGCAGTATCAGGAATATAACCTCCAACTCACGGTAGGAGGTCCACACCATCTTCACCTCAAGATAAGTAGAATGGAAGTACATACTGTACAAACTGATTTACGAAATGGGAACATGTGCACAAATCCACAATCAACTATACATCTGGGTACCCAACGTACAAACAACGATGGGAAGCGATTTGCCAATGCAACAGATCACATGAAACTCAAACTCAATCAGACTGGCACCCCACTGCACAACATCAACATCAGACAGTGAAAACTCTCTGAGGTGGAGTGCAAGAGAGAGAGAGAACCATCATCTCAATCAACATTATTCTCTGGATAGGACCATACAGAAGCTGGAGTGCAATGCCACCCTCCAGATCTTATCGCACAGAGGTGGATCGCCCCTAAGCATATATAGCAACTTCATCCTCTCAATAGAACCACACAGAAGCTGTGTGCAACATCAATCTCCAGGACCCACCTCATGGTGGTGGAGCATATTTATTTGTAGATATGCACAACAACATACTCTGGATAGGACCGACCAAAAGTTGGAGTGCAATGCCTCCCTCCAAATCCCACCACACGAGAGTGGATCACATCTAGAAAATATAAGCAATTGCACCACCTGATAGAACCACACAGAAGCTGGGTGTAACATCAACCTCCAGGACCCACTGCAAGGAGGTGGAGTGCATGATTGGAGGATCAAATGCCATTTACACAAGAGAACACCAATGCCCTACTCTTAACTGAATCACATTCAAGAGAACTCCTCCATGGTCCACTACCCATAGCTGCTCAGAACTGGAAAGTGGTAAGAACTCCCATATTGAATTAGAAGAACAAGGGGTTAAAATGTGGTGGAGAGTCCAGAAGAACACTAACACCAGAAACAGTGCAATGGGTGACCATAAAAACCCCTTTTTAAAAAGCAGACTACCCCTGATTTATTCAATAAAAGGGATAGCAGGGATGGGCAGCTATCCCCTTCTGCTTTATCCATGTAAATCACTGGATTAGTACAGTCCGGAAAGTGCATATTTATGAAGCAAATATATTGAAAGAAAACCTACTAGTGATATTGTGGAACACCCCATCTCAACAGTGTGCGTCATTGGCCATGGTTATACATCTTGGTCGTACAGTGCAGATTTGAGAGATAGGAAGTATACCTTGACAAGCAACGCTCCCCACCGAGTGGGATCCTAATCCTAAATGGGACATGTGTGGGCCCAATAAAGGAGTTCTAAAGTTTGACCATAAAGGAAACAGGAATGAGTGCCCTCTTAGTGATTGCCATAGGCCACAACAATGGAATTGTCAGAACAGAGCATGACATGTCAGTTCAGAACCAGAGGAAGAAAATGAACCAAAGCATGTTGTACTGCCAGAAGTTTCTAGCTGTTGATATGGTAAGACATTTTGATCTGAGACCATTGTCCAGAAACCTCTTGCTGATGTACCCATACTCCTCAACCTTGGAGAGAAGCATCTGTGAGCAGGTTCAAATCTGGGGCAAGGTGAAGGAAGCAGTATTTCCATCACCATGTTATCCTTGTTCAACCACCAATGCATATTGTCTATAAGGGAAGGAGGAAGGGTAATTTGGGAGTCCAGGGGATCCTGAGCAAGAGTCTACTGAGGATAACACATGTGTGCCAAACCCAATGTAATAAGGGCTTCCAGAGAAGCCTAAGTCCCCAAAAGTGACAGAATCTTGCATGCAGAAACAGAAAGAGCAGGAAGTGTATGGAGAGCTGAAAACTCCATCGAACAGAGACAAAATGGAGAAGGTTGGGCCCGAATGAGGTGGATGTTAAAAAATACACCCAAGTGGATAAGATATTGGGTAAGAAAAGAGAAAGACTTCTCCAACTTGAAAATCCAACCAACATGAGCTGCATCTATCAGCAGCAGATGTGTGTGTTGAGAAAACTCCAGGTCAGAATGAGCTAACAGGAGCCAGTCAACCATGTAGTGGTGTAAATGCAACCCTGGAGCAGCAAGCAGTCGGGCAAAAGCCTTGACCACCCGATAAAATACATATGATGCTGAATCAAGCCCAAAAGGCTAGGTGTGAAACTGATACACAGCCCCGTAGTAGAAAAACCAAAGACTGCATCTGAACTGATGAGAAATAGGAATATGGAGACAGGCATTTGAGACATCTACCATGATCATCCACAGTCCTGGAGAAAAAACCCATCTGAGTGTAATAAAGGACTCCATGGTAAATCAGAGAAGATCCAGAAATTGGTGATGGTAGGACAGAAAGATCACAGGATGGCAGTCCCCTGATTTGTTTTGTGGACAATAAAACCTGGAGAAAGCTGGCTGACAGGCTTGATAGATCTCTGTGATAGAAGGATCTTCAAAGCCATGGATAGATGCAGACTTGTAGCAGGTTCCAGAGTTAATGGGAAGAAAGTCAGTACAAGAGACAATGGTGGTGGGGAAAGAAAATGGATGAAAAATCCTTCTGACAAAACTTGGATCATCCAAGCATCGGTAGTGAATACCCACCACAGAGGAACAAAATTAGCCAAATGTGTCCCCAGTGTACAGGAAAAAACCTGATAGTCACAGGAACTGCTGGTGATGATGAACCCGATGTTGAGATACACAGGAAAATTTGGAATTCTTAATGGTAGAAAGTGGTAAAGGACGAGAGATTGCAGGACAAGAAACAATTATGGGAGAGGTCACAGGATCATAATAAGACAAACAAGCAACCAAAGTCTAAAGGGTTGAAAGTGGTCTCCCTGATTCCACACTTGATTCGAAAGATTTGGGAAAATCTCCAAAAACAGACCAATGGAGAAAAGGAGGCATCTGTAAGTCATGAAGATAAGTGGAAGGTAGATGAACCTGTGACAAGACAGCACCCTTCCCAATAAGATCTCAACAGCAATGAAACCATGTGTGATAGGGCTGAATAGAACAATCACACCAATGTGGAAGTAAGGAGGGAAAAGGTATCCTCCAAAAACCCTGCAGGGGATCAGTGGAGTGTCTCAGAAAGGAGGTGTATGTTGGACAAGTACTGTAGGAGAGCTGTAAGGGTAACACAAAAGCAGGAAACTGGGCATGGGAGAAATTGATATGATACTCTGGGACATTCCCCACATTGGCAAAAGTGACTCTATCTGCTGGGAGTCAAGAAATAGTTGATCAGCCTGCTGATAAGCAAAAGCAGAATGAACATAAGCCCATGGAAGACAAGGCATGCTAACACCAGCCCTCAGCTGAGAAACGAAATACTTAGCATGTATCCTGATGTCAAGGAATGGAAGGGACAGTATCAAATGAAATTGGTGAAAACAAGAAAATGGAACACACCTGAGAAAGCATATCCAAAATGGCAGAATTAGGCCATGTATATTCCATAGGAGAGGCATGGAAAGACACAGCAGAGTTAGGAGGAGGAAAAAGGAAGAACTCTAACATTTTCAGAAGAAGAAGGATGACTCCTATAATTATCAATCTCCTGACAAAGACCCCCAGACTGTAAGCCTGTGTAATGGCACTTGAAGTAGTGGTAAAAATATCAGAAGTTGTAAAACACAAACTTCAGAATTCACCTGAAACTGTGAAGAAGTTGAAAAATGAGAAAAAAAATCAATAAACAGAGGTAAGTTATTGTTGTGACAAATACTATAGAAAACTAACTGTAATATATAATAGTTTGGTAGAATTGAATAGAAGGAGTCACATGCATCAAGTGGGGATGTTGCACTTTTATTGGTGGCGGATTGTCATATGATGATTTACATCTGAGATGCAGTTGAACCAAGTGGAGTATGTGGGAGTTCAAGGCTTGTGGCATGCAAAAACATTTTGCATATAGAGGGCCGCACTGAACTAGAATAGCTATCCATGTGAGGGGAGATAATGTACTATATCTGAATATAGATCATAATTTCTTTATTAGTTTGTAACTGATCAAGAAACTACCACTACACGTGTCTAACATAACTTGATACAATAAAAAATAGTCAAACTGCCATCTGAAATGGTCTTTGTAAAAGGATCTGCTAAATCCTCACTAATTTTGCTATAGGTAAATTTGCTACTGTAAACTTCATATTGTCCAAAAAAAAACAAAATTATTTCTGCTGCTGAGTATTGTGCATAACCAGTCAGAAATTTACATCAATAAAGCAGCTAAAAAAAAAAGAGTGATAATCCTCGATTACAACAATAATAACGAATATGGAGTGGGTACTTCTTACTAAATACTAAAGAGTTATTCAACTAAAATGAAAACAAACAGATGGCCAGTTGTTGCTTTCTACACGTTAGATGTATTTTGCCTATATGCTTTTGTTTTGTGAATTCATCTTTACTTTAATTGCAATAATGGAAGGTCACGTAAGAGTTCTCTTTTTTTCTGCAGATATTACAAAAAGAATTTATTCAACAAATAAAATAATTGTGTAATAAAATCTTACACCAACTGCAAAAATCAGTCTGACATTACAAAAAAGTGTAATTGTTGTTAGATCAGGTTTTGAGAAATGGCCAAGAAAAGTAGGGTCAATTGTGAAAAATGTCAATATTTTGTATGTACAGATTTATAATGTTGAACATTATGGTGTATTGATCTAAGCATCAATATCCAAAAATAAAAGCATTGAGAAATCATAAATTGTGTAATTTTTTCTGTATAAACACAGGACCTACCTGTATTGAATGGTATAAACAATTAGTCGTATATTTGAGGATTGAATTATTTTAAGCCTGGGTTTTGTGACATAGGGTATAAGACCCATTAATTAGTGATATGTAGTAACTAAAGTTGGCAATAATTTTAACACTGAATGTAAGTTATGGTAAATGTTATAGATTTCAGTTTTACTTTGATTACTAAAGCAGTTTTGTAGAGGAAACTCTGGTAAGCTGTGGCTGTTTGAGAACAAATTATCTTTTATAAGAGCTATCTTAAAATTTAGAAAATGACTCATCAACTTGAGGATACCATCTACTTTAGAAACATTATAATTTTCTCCATAATATAAATTGGAACTAATATACTAGATTTTAAATGTACACACTTGAAAAATTAACTAATTCTGAATGGATATAAAATATTAACCACCCAGTTATTATTTGAATGTCAGATACTGGAAATAAAATAAAAAGATCCACCATATAAAAGAGATACACACATGGACATTAGATAAATAGATAGTGGATTAAACAGTAACTTACATTATGGTGTAGAACGTTTATTTACCTCTGTATGTTATGTTCCCTATGTGAAGGAGAGCTGCTAAAATCTTCATAATTTCCCAAATTTCCTGATCAGTAAACATCAATACTTTCATGGCTGCCTTAATTTCTGTGAAATCTATTGCATCATTCCTTGCATCACAGGTAATGCATTTACCCTAAATAGAACGGGAAATATCAAAGTTAAACAAAAGTAAGAGGAGATAAAAAAATAACAAGGGTTATAAACATCTAACCCATAACATCCACATATAAATTTGTACAAAATCATAAAACAGACAAACATAAAGATTTTCATAAAAGGACTGCTGCAGTGCAATTAAATTGAAAACAAAAAAGGGGGCAAAAATTATACCACAAAAAATGGTAAATGGTAAATAGATGTTGTAATGTTCATAATGTTTTGAGCTTGGATGCCTTTCTTTGGTGCTCTTAAACTTTGATGGAACATACTTAATTCAAACCTTTATTGAATACAAAATTCCCATTAAAAACATTTGAATATCTAGGCACAGTAAATAAACTAAGGAGAGTTAAAAATTTCCAGTCACAGATATCTGGATAATAAAATTCAAACAAGTCCTTCTTTTTATATGGAAAGTCTTTACTACAGTTTTATATATATACACACACACAGATATCGTGCCATTTCCCAGTTTAGAAGTTTATACAACAGCATGAAGTTTTATCTAGATGTACATACTGCATTTTATATTACTGTTTTAATGACATGTAATGCTACATCACTTTTATTCCACATGTGAAATGACATATAATATTACCTCATTTAATTTCATCCACCACAAACTAAATGCTTTTATGTTTTATCTATGCGCGATATATATATATATATATATAATGCTATATTTTCCTATTTTATCTACACAATGCCTAACCTGTATCAGGTAATTATATTTGGTAGCTTCTTCAAGATATAAAACTTGTTTTTCTTCCTTTGGCATTCCTGCTAACATGCAGTAGAAAATATGGTAGTTCCTTTCTTCTTCAGCCTTGATTCCAAAAATAAGCAATAACACATAAATTAAAATAAAACACTGTTATTTAAGTTTTAAACTGTTTTCATTCATTACGTATACTGTACTAAATAATATCCTTTCCAGCCACCTGTGTGTGGATTAAAACTTGAGCTTATGGTTAGAGGTTCTAAAAGGCCTACTGTTTGTTCATGACAATAACAACTAAGGAGTAATCACATTTCAAGAATGGTGTTCTAGGTTCTGTACTGCTGTTGGAAATACTTCCTAAATTGTCAATCATGTTCAATTTGACGGCCATGATTATACAATCACTGTTACGTATGACTGCAATTCACACTATATCCAGTTTTTGGAAAGGACAGTGAAATAAATCATAGACCATAAATCTTGACATGATTTCCACAAAAACTCCAAGATGTATATAAATGGACTTATGTATATAAATGGATGTATATAAATGTATATAAATGCACATATTTGCAAATCAAATGCACTAAAAACACTGAGGGACTTAGGGTATGCGATCAAGTGATATTTACCATAAACCAAATACATGGAAATTTAACTTGTCACCCATGGTAATTGCAGCAACTCATCGTCATAACAACACATACAGAAATTATCCTTATGGAGTGTGATAAACCTTCTGTACTGTTAATAATTATATACTTTCAGATCTGTGAATTAAATCTAAAATTTTAAATTAAACTGGGTAACTTAAAGGATAAACTCAGATGTATATTTTGTAACAGACTAGTTCACATATGTTAAGTGATTCATTAAGATGTGTTTATAATTAAGTACCTGTTGGTACCACTTGTGCAAATGTTAACCTGCAGTTAATGTATATCTGGGTGGTTTCTGTGGACACCTCTAAAAGGTTTAAACTAAGTAATGTTACTGCTTAAGTTAGTGATTTTTGTGTTGTTGTGTGAAAAACAATTTATTCACACATAGATGGGTATTTGTGAATTATGGTAATTTTACAAAGATATGTGCCTAAGCTATACATACTATTCTTTCTCCATCAGTACTGTTCTTTGTGACAACCCTAGTTATTGACTATTGCTCAGCAGTACCATCTACACTGAAAGAGGCTTTTGAGCAATACACTACAGTCCATGTTCTTTCATTCTCTTTCCAAAGTGTATCAATTGTGTATGGCTATCAACTTCTGGAGGTTCAAAACAAACAAAGGGACAAAAAATTCATGAAAGATACATCTGTTGACTTAACTGTTGTGTCCGTGAATGGTCATAGCATGAATTCTCATTCCTTCTTGTACCATGTAGAGGAACTGACAATTATGCTGACTTAGACCTGTGGTTGGATGCTTTTTCTTGATGGAGCTATAGCTTACATACATCCAGATCATACAAAAATATCATTTCCTTGCAGTATAATGGTGTCAGTCTGACAGAATGCAGAGTACACCATGGTATTTTCCTTTCTGGATGTTTAACTTACCATTATGTCTGTAACCATATATCTCTTGGAAAAGCTTTCACAACATATGCCATTTTCAAAATGTTGTATCATCAGAAAGAAAATGATAAATCACCTAGACTTTGCTGTAGTCACTTAAATAGGCATATATTTCATCCAATGAGACAACATGCTTCAATTTGTCATATGCCACATATCATTTATACAGCTTTTGAAAGTTTTCTGTTCAGTTATATGCTTTGTGAATGCAGCTGTTGTAGACCTAAATATATTTGAATTGAATTATCTTGTTTACAGTTATAAGGTGGGGTTTCCATCTCAACCATGTTCCTGGATTACTTCTATGCATACTTTTATAAACATGGAATAGGAGAACTTCAGGTTGGAAAGTCTTGTAATATAACCATTCCAGAATAGGTCAATTCATATCCATGCTTTCATAGGTCAGGGGCAAAGCTATTGGATGTGCATACTGTTACCATAGATTGTGGAAAGATATTGTTGCGTCATCGAGTCACATGACTACTGTGACGCAACGTTTCTAGAACTGTCATGTACTTTGGCGAATGCTCTAGTAATTGCTGGATGTAGGGTAGGCTGGTATATAAAAGAGGGGAATGTAATGTGTGCATAGATAGTGAGTAATTGAACTGCAGTCACAGGGTATTGTTGAAGTTAACGTTCGTTCGTTACAGTGTTGTTTTAGCGCGAGTATTGAGATTAAGTGTATCGCAAAGTTATATTCGGAAAGAATAAACCAGTTTTATTAAGAAAGGACTTGTGTCGCTTAAAATTTCGTCGGAACGAATTTACGGAGAGTTAATTAACAAACGGAGACGTAACAAATTGGTGTCAGAGAGTGGGATAGAAAAAAAAAACGAGAAGAAAAATGGAAACTAGAGGCGGAAAATCAAACTACAGCTTAGCAGATTTGATGGCAGCAATACAAAAACAAG